CCAAAACGAACTAAATCGTTGCGGGAAACTCCAAGGAGTTCAGTTCGATTACGCAAATGATTTACTTGTAAAATTAAAATATAAAATTTTTTTAATGGACAAATGTAATATTATATTAAATGTAATATTATAGTTTAATATTATTTGAGTTCTATGTAGTACAATTAGTAATTATGTCACAAAGTAAGTATTAAATTTGTTGTATTAAATATAAATAATATTTAAGATATCAGTAGTTGATACCTTTTTTACGATATTTAGGCGAAAATCTAGGCTTAATTAAAAATAAAAAAATAATGTAAATTTATGTAGGAAGATATGATTTTTATAAGATAATTCCTATATTAAAAATATACTAAAAATATGTAAGACAATGTAATAGAATAAATTTAAATAGAAGCATTAAAAGATAAGGACTTGGATACTAATTTTATACAGAATAGTTATATTAATCTTATTTATTAGTTTTATTTATTAAAGATTAAGCTCTAATTAACTTATTAATTATCGACAATTAACTCGAGTCACAATCAGTCACAACAATTAATTCACTGGCAAAATTGCTTACAGCAAAATTTTTATCTATACAATTTATTATTTTTGATCTCATTTTTATTTCCGCGTCAAATAAAGAATAAATAGTTCTATCCATATTAACAAAGTAGTATAAACATTGATTAAGTTAATTGTAAATTAATCAACGTTTAGTTGCCTTTAGCGTAATTTTTAGATGATGACATTATCATCGTTAGATAATATAGATATTATATCATTGTAATAGGCAGAGCTGGGCATGTATTTAAATATTATTATTTACGAAATAGTATATAACAATTATATTTTGTATGTTAGTAGAGCACGTGAAAATATTTTGTATTTCAGTATAATAATAACAAAAGATTGAAAGTGTTTAAATACTAAAATTAACCATAATATTAACAATATATGCTTAACACTGATAAATATTATTATTTATTATTATATCATTGTATGTGTATTAATTGATACAAGGGTCGGTAATGTCGGTGTTGGTTAATATATTGTAGTTTCGTCAATATAGTTGCTGTTGAGAATCACGAAAGTTGCAGAACATGTACCGCTAGTGTGTGTTTGTAATCATATTTAACATATTCCTTAGGAAAATGACGTCGATATTGAGAAACTATTGGAGATTATCGCGAAGTTTATCATTTGCTACGCCAAAATGTAATGGAATATTAATTATAGGAACGACATTTCTATTAAATTATGTAATAATATACGCTCGTGTTTGACAGGTTATGCTATCGCTTCTCCGTCATGTATAAGATGTAATACCACAACTACCAGCGAGAAGACCGATAAAACTGAGACTCGTCGTATGTACAATTTCTTTATTTAATTTAATATTAATAAATTAAGCTATTGCAATTTGTCTAAATTTAACAGAGATTATTGATTTTTTTTATTCAATTTTTGTTAGCAAAGAAAGTAATTCTGAAATCTCCTTATATATGTAAAGTATTTAACAAAATCATTAGTGTATGCAAATATTTTCGCAGCCACGATACGGAAATCCAGTCATGTTAATGTTGACCGCCTGATAAATTTTGGTCGTTATATCAACGATTGTCTACCTAAATATATACAACAAGTACAGCTGGCTGCTGGTGATGAGTTGGAATTATTAATCACTCCTGATGGCATCATTCCAACGTTTACGTTTCTAAAAGATCATCATAATACACAATTTGTTAATCTGTCAGATATTACTGCTCTAGATGTACCCAGTAGACAATGTAGATTTGAGGTAAATTTGCTTTGTGTGTGTGTGTGTGTGTGTGTGTGTGTGTAAATCTGAGTATTGACATTATAAATAGACAATAAGATTTTACTTAGAAATAAACTATTATGCTATATTTATTTATAGCTTGTCTATAATCTGCTATCATTGAGATATAATTCACGCATCAGAGTGAAAACATATACTAACGAGTTGACGCCAGTTGATTCCCTCTATAGTGTATTTCAAGCTGCTAATTGGTATGAGCGAGAGATATGGGATATGTTTGGTGTATTCTTCTCGAATCATCCGGATCTTCGTAGGATTCTTACAGACTATGGTTTTCAAGGACATCCACTGAGGAAAGATTTTCCACTCAGTGGATATGTTGAGGTAATTATTCAACATTTGTATATCATTGTTTTTAACGTAATATTCAATTGTTTACATTTTAAAGAATCTAACAATAATTTTTGCTCTAAATTTTAATTATCAAATTTTATTAAAAGATCAATGATTTATGTTTCAGGTTCGCTACGACGACGAACATAAAAGAATAGTGATTGAACCATTAGAATTGACGCAAGAATTCCGTAAATTTGAACTAGCCGCCCCGTGGGAACAGTTTCCTAATTTCCGGGATGCTCCAGCAATTGCTGAACCTATCTCAAAGGAAAAATAAGTGCTTTCATTTCGATCATAGTCATTTAGATCATAATTCGAACAAGCAAATATAAATATATCGATAAAGTGTAAAATAAATGATAAATGTTCTCTCTTTGAACCATTTCTAAGTGCCCAATTCGGGCATTTGTTTTGGAAATATAAAGAATAATGTGATAATTGTATTTATTTTAAAACATGATCTAGATTGCAACATTTAAGTTATTTTCTCAAAAATTTCTAATCTTATGCTATTTTATATCGAATTTCGACTTCACTCTTATTTATAAAATATAAATAAAATTATAATTATAAAAATATAACATATACACAAATTATAGTACGCGCGAATAAAAGACTAGTTTAAATAATTTTTTTTAATAATTTGAATACGTAACAAGTTAATAGGAAAAATGCCAATGAACTCTATTCTGAAACATTAGTTTTATTCTGTGTATTTGTATAGAGTTATATAAACATAATATATTTTTTTTATATTACACATTTTTACAAACTACTTATGATCTACTCATAAGGCATTGTTTCCGGATTTTTAAAGAGCCTGGAACGCGAGTCAAATTTCTTTTGAGTGCCGTAAGACGGCATTGACGCTAGAAAGATGTAAAAATCGACATTTCGCCGGACATATCCTGCTTACACGACCATACAAGTAGTTGTACTTCTTGCAGATCCTCTCGATTCTCTTATTCTTAATTTAGAAAAAAAAGGGCAGCCTCTATTCGAAAGTGATTCTCTTCTCTAGTGACTAAGGCCCCTATTCTGTAATTTTGAATGACAATAACAAAAATTGTTATATTGTTGTGCAAGTTTTGTACAATGGTAAAAAAAAGCTGCGCAACGACAATATAACAATATCGTTACTGTCGTTAAAGTCACAGAATAGGGAGACGATGATTCCTTGTAAGTAGAACTCACTTTCGAGCACTCTAGCATTAAAATAACGTTTACATACGAGTTTTTAGGAGACTATATCTACAGTACGTGACGGTTTATTTTATTCTAGGCCTATCATAGACATTGGTATACGCGCTAAATTACCTCATCGCATTTTCATTCTGAAATTAGCAGCAGTTTCTCACGAGCTGCTGTTTTTCTTACTAAGTACTTGAATAAAACTAGATTATAGTATTCGTGCCGGTGGAAAAATTTTACTTTCAGAGAGAGGACAATTACTTTTTTCGGATGTAAGGCAAGAAATTTTCTTTCAAGGAAGGACATGTTTCTCAAAAATTCTTATCTCAAAATATTTATATAAATAATTCGCTTTATAAAGATGAACTACGATGTGTAAGATTGCATTGTGCGATATCTCATCGCCGATATAATAGACAATGGCGCATGTTTGGCGGTAAATGTGATTAAAGTCTGAATTATTAGCATAGAGTGAAGTCAATTCCGTTGGATGTAACTTTTATATCTTAAAACAAATCGATATTTCGTCTCTCGTGTGATTTTCAAAAATAATGTAATAGATATTTTTAATTGTTTTCATTCTTGAATATGTAAAAGAAACTTTTATTTCAAAATTTTTTACATTTCTATTCTATTAAGTATTATTCATTTTAAGTACTTTTTGCACTTCATCATAACTAGTTCATCAGTACTAATTCATCAGTTTAAATGCACTTTGTTAATCTTTGTCCTCTGCTCTCAATTTTAACAATTTTTCGTTTTAATATCAAAATAATATTGAATTTTAATAAAATCATCTTTACCTGCTTTGAAAAGATAGACGATAAACTTATTATTAAACAAATTTATGTTTGAATTTTCTTCAGATTATGAATCTGCACATGCAATATTCCATTTCATATCATAAGAAAAACGTTCTAAATAGAATTACTTCACTCTGTACACACAATAACCCAAAATTGCAAACGAATATAATAGTATTTACAATAAATTACTTTCCTCGTTCAAATTAACTAAATATAATAATGACAGTATAGAAAACATTTTCGTTTTCTGAAATAAACGTTTTACACGAATTGATTACTTATGTGCAAACATCAACTAATTTCTCAAGAGACAAAAAAGTGCTTGATATATAAGATTTTTTTCCCCACATTTACCGCATCTTGGCGATAAATGATAATTATTACAATCAATGATTATTCAGCAATTAATTATCATAGACAGTTCCGTGTATAAAGTCGTCGGACTAAGCGAAACTTTACAACATTTCCTTTTGTTATAACTCGCTCTGAAAACTTCGTCAATGTAATTTCAATACATGACACTCGTGCTAACATCACAGTTTAATATTATATTATAATATTCGATCACTCTCTCACTCTCTCTCTTTTTTACACACTTAAATATATGCTACTTACACGACTTTTAAATGACCGCGCAATTAAGCTCGTGCGTGTCCCCGTAAAATGTCGAGTCGCATGCGATTCGACGGTTTAACTTCTTTTTTATAATTTTATATTTTATATTTAAAAATTCGTAAATTGGGATTTTCTCGCTCGCGTGTATATGTTTATGATCCCAAAACTTAAATTCGAATATGTAAAACTATTTTCAGATACTAATGACGAAGACAGACATCTATACTTTATATTGTTTATTTGGTCTATTATATTTTGTCTATCCTGACGGGCTTTTTCAACGCTGCTTGTCTCTTCCGAATGAACGGCACCATGATCCAAAGAGATGAGCCGAACACGAGAATGATGCCTAGTATACTGAAGATTGGTCCGTAGCTGCCGATCTGCTCGAACACTATACCGCAAATTGGCGGTCCCACCAACTGAATGACACCGTTGACGAACAACGAGATGCCATAGGATGAGGTAAGTTTCTCCGTGCCCAGCATATCAGCCATGATTACGGCGGTGATACCGACGTAAATGCCGGACGCGAGACCAAAGAAGGCGCAATAAACAGACAGCATGGTATACGTGTTGGAAGTGGGCATGATGGCCAAAGAAATCCCGGAGGCGAGCAGACCGCCAACGAAGTACCAATGCTTGGGCATGATCTTGATGTCGGAGAGAGCGGAGCCGCCGATACGACCTACCAAGTCGAGCATGGAGACGATCGACAATAACAACGATGCGTCCCAATTGTCGAAACCTAGAGAAATGGCATAGGCTGGTAACAAAATGACGAAATTAGTATAGCTAATGGCGTTGGTGGAATTGGAGATGAGGATGACGAGATAGATGGGATCTTTGAGCAAGCTGAAATCGAAGAATTTGTTCTGTTGATCCTTCTCATCCTGCTCACGTCGCTTCTGCTCTCTTATCGTCGATTTCCTGGTAAACGTGCTGGAGATAGCGTTCAACGTCAACGTGGATGCACGTTCTGCATGCAAAACCGACAGTGTGCTACCGTGATATGGCGTACTGACGTAATTGAAAGACGACGTGCTAGGTGAGTGCAACGGTGATCTTGTCGTCCTGACATATTTCACGGATTCGACCATGGCACCGCCGCGCTCTGGCACAGCGTGCAACGTCGGCGTGCTGTGCATCTGTCCACTGATCTCGCGTCCGGTGGGCATACTGATCTTTCGCGTACGACTTTGCACTGGTGTGTTCTTATAATATTCCAAAGCAACGCTCGATGCGCTTTTCGGCACGATCGGCGCGGCCTTTTCGTTCATCGAGTTGCTCAATGATGCCAGCTGACTGTTGCTCTTCTCTGTCGCTTGCTCAGGACTGCTAGTGACAGTCACCGACATAGTCTCTCCATTATCATGCGCCTCGATATCGTCTGGAGGCCGAGCTGGCACTAAGTGCCATTCTACCGGATGGTACAGGAGCGCGCTTGCCCAGACATTTAGTGTGACAGCACCCATTATTAATACTGCACCTCTGTAAATAGACAGATCTTGATCAACTTTATTTATTATTATTATCGTTGAAAAGAGATTGACACTTAACAGTAGAGCCAAATGGAATGACTGCAATTACTATAATATATATATATATGTATATTAGAGGGCATTGCACTGAAAGTCGCTTTTTTTTTGTTCTTTTAGCATTTATTTCAATAACAGAATGTGTGAATACTTCAATCAAAGTATTTTTGCCCTCGGAAGCCATGACTTTTCCCCACTTTTCTGGAAGTTGAATTCCGCGATAAAAGAACAATTTTCGATTTTGCCGTAATTACGGAAGTGTGTATCTTCTAGATCGTGTTCTATCGAAACAGACGGTAACCGCTTGATGCCAAATACTGCGTGCGAAAGAACCTTCCATTCGAACTCCATCAGTGTTTGTTTCATGGCTACAACAATATGGGACCGAGCGTTATATCATGGAGAAGAATTTCGGCAATTCATGCAATTGATAGTCATTTTTGTATCAAATTATCATTCAAACGCTCTAATTGTTGTCGATAACAGGGTTGCCATAGAAAATGAATTTAAAAATTCTTTGATTTTTTCAAATTTTCCAGATGAAAATGGAAAATTCATTTAGAGGATTATAGGAAAGCTAGTCTATATTATTAAAAACAACGCAAAAAAAGCTTAGTAAAATTTTGAATGCAAATTCAAGCCAGCAAAAAATATTAGTTTTGCAAAAAAGAATGCAGTTATGACGAAAAAAAGAGATTAAATAAAAATATTGAATAAAATATAAATTTTAATTATTTTGTTAAAATCATTTAAAGTGCACAAATTTTGAACGTATTTGACTATAAATTAGATATATTCAAAAAATTATGACAATTATTTGGAATAGGAGCAGTTTAAGGAAATTGTGAGCAAATTTCGAAATTCCAGACTTTTTTACATTTTTTCCTCTGACTTTCCGATTTTCCATGACCAATTTCAATTTCCTTTTCCCGGTTTTCCAGGTCTATGGCAATCTGGAAAATATCGGATATCCGACAATAATATTCGATATTACGGCGCTCCCTAGTCGAAAGTCGAAACCAATCTCTACATACTGTTCCCGATGAAACAGATTTATATAAACAATTTTCCATAAATTTCCGCAAGCAATCGGTGAGTTTCAAATGCACTTTTTTTCAAAGTAGCGTAGAAGTACATGTCGGAAAAACAACTTATCGCTTTCCATTTTAATTCGATTATAGAATAGCACATGTATAAACAAAAGATGGCATTTGTTTATTATTTTAATGGGAAATATTCACACTTTTCAAAATGACATAAGTAATAGATGTCTCTGATCACAGCATACGCAACTAGAGCCATCTAGACATGAACAGCGGCTTTCAATCCCTCTAATACGTGCATAGTAACCGATCGAAAAATTATAAATATAGGATTGTTTTCACAGTTTTTATTTGTTACATAGCGTTTATCAGTTTTCGATAAATGTGAGATCAACTTATATTTATCCTGTATATTTATCCTCTTCTCTCTCCTGTTATTCTTTATTATTACACACAAGAAACCATTGTTACAATTTAACATCTGATGAGCGCTTAGATAAAACAAATCAAACTTGAAATTAATTAATAATTTAATTATAATTGTCCGAAAACTGCTGTCTTTCAATTCAAAATTCATATTTTTTTTTATTTTGATATGATATTTTCAATTTTGAATAATAAATTTATTAAAAAAGAAAATATTAATTTCATTTAGATAATAAAAACGTTTTAATTATTTATCAAACAGTGCACTTACCTGTAACCATATTCTCGTAAAAGAAAACCCAGAACGGGCGGAAGAAATATTGAACCTAACGCACTGCCAGATATGCAGAGCCCGTTGGCGAGTCCTCGAAACCGTACAAAATAAGATGTCACAATATATACAGTTGGAGGAAATGCTAATCCAGCACCCGTACCTACGAATACACCATAACTGGAAACAGAGGAAATTGCATAAGAAATATTTCTGTGTATTATAATATTTATAATATAATCGGAGGCGTTTCGAGACAGTAAGCAGGTATCGCTCCAGCGCAAAATTTGGAGGGGCGCAAAACTTTAATAGGCACAGCGCTACTCTTGTAAATATAAACCTCTATCTTACTTGTTTATTTTAAATGAATTAGCTAAAAGTGGTTTTCTGGAAATCTTTTCAAATTTAGCAATAACGTTATGGATCTTATTAACTGTGCCAATATCTGTGGCAATTTTTCAAAGCAGAAGCATCTTTTCAAAATTAAAAATAATAAAGAATTATCTGAGAAATACAATAACTCAGACACAGTCATACGATTTAGCTATGATAATTAAAAAAGAATTGGCGAACAGTCATGATTACGTAACAATTGAAGATTACGTAATCAGATTATTTTCAAAAGCTAAAGCGAGAAAATGTAATAATATGTTACATTAAGTGTCAAATATATTATTACAAAAGAAAATATGCAATTTATTGTATTCGTATTCTTGTATTATAAAAATTGATGGAAATTCCTTTTTTTTTAATTGTTAGTTCATTGCCGTGAGGGATTGGTGAGGGATTGGTGCTTCAGAGACTTAGTGATCCTTGTGATGGAGCATAAAAATTCCAGCATAGGGCACCAAAGAAACGCCTCCGATAATAAATATATAATAATAATATTACGCAACGAATATTTCGAACTCAAAAAATCACATAGCTTCAATAAAGTCAATAAATTGATTTTTGCACTTCTTTGTATTCTCTTCATACATTTGAATACTTTCCTTTTTTTATGTCGTTGCTCATCTTTATTAATACCGAATAAATTCATCTGAATATTTGCAATTTGCCTTTGTAATTTTATAATTTTTCTTTCTGTAATTTTATTGGAAAAATTTTTACAGTAATTTTACATTATTACAACGAGAAAATTATTTTATTAGGTGTTGGAATTAATTCGTAGCGTTTTTTAATGAAAGAATGTTATTTATTTCACATGAGCATTAAAAAATACATTAATGAAAGTACTTCCCATCACTTGTAAAACGCTACGAATTAATTCCAACACCTAATAATAAATCTTGTTTTTTACTGAAATCTAGAATTTTTATTTTTGAAACAAAGATATGTGTTTGTGTGATACAGGTTATTCTTTTATGGAGATATTCGTTGCACAAAATAATGGCCAGCTAATTTATCTCTATTTTATATGACAAATAAAAATATATTACCTAACGCATAGAAAGGCCACAGAGTTCGCAAAATAACTCAGCATCATCCCCGCCGCAGCGAACGTCCCCCCTATTAAAGTTACCGTACGATAGGAATACTTGACCGAAAGTATACTAGAGAGTGGGCCTGGAACAATAAAATGTCATTGAAAATGTAATAAATACAAACAGCAATGTTTATTTAGAAACTGTTTATACAGATATATTTATATTAAATTCTGATAGATGATGGAATTTTATCGCGATTATCGTTCTTGTGAAAAGGCATTGTAGTGCAGTCGGTGTGATCCAGATTCTCATCAAACACACAATACGCATAAAGATAAAACCAAGTAATCCCTAATTAAATTTGCTCGAGAATTCATCAACGTGATTCATAATCTATCCGAGGAAAAACGCGTAAACATAACGCAGACAATACACAATTAAATACGCAAATCTTTCTCGGAATTTACCACTTAGCATGCATTACCTTTTTCCTTTGCAAGAATGTAATGTACATTGCTCGCAGCATCATGACGTAATGTGAAAGTTAATATAATGGTTGCCAATAATTCTAGATTTCTTTCTCCTTTTATTATAAAAATATCATGAAATTGTAATCAAATAACGTAAACACAGCTTTGACGTATTGACGTTTCATTAAGGCATGATAAGCAGAGATAAGACATGCCTAAATATTTAATTGTGAATTACGTAAATGCGAAACTGGGACAAGTTACGGAAAAACGGAACCCTCGACCTGAGAGAGGTGTCTAAAAAAAACGTAGACCCGCGACCTCGAAATACTCGACGGCGCGCAGCGTTTTCTTACCCAGCGAACTGTATAGGAAGTAACAAAGCGACGGTATCCATGCAGCTGCCGCTGGTGACGCATCAAATATGTCAAGGAATTCGACGAACAATACCCCGAAAGACTTGATGGTACCAGGGATGAGAAGGTTGACCATGACGGCAGCCAGGAGTATCAGCCATCCCCAGCCTCCGTCCGGTGGGACTAACTCCTCTTCTTTCTTCTCATTTTTCTCTGTAATAGAGATAGAGATCTTTCAGAATCTTATTATCAATTCCTTTAAAAATCTTTATATCGCTTATAATAATAAATCATTGTTATCCTCCGCGATCATTTTTCTGCCAATTTAATTTTAATATTTTTTTCCCTCTTTTTTCATAAAGAAATTGAGAGTCAAGAAGTAAAGAATTTTTCTTGTTAAAAAAAATCGATACTTCAAAGTTCATTCGATTGCCAATAGTTTATCATTTCTGATTTCTGTGGACTTTGTACTTTTTTAACGTCATATCGAATTAAGTAATACAAGAAGTAAAATAAATAGTTCTTTAAGTAAAAAAAAGGTCAATACGGTCGAGACTAGATTTGCCTAATAATAGGGAGTTTTTCTCGGAGTTTTTACAATACAGTGAACGCTTTATCCAGATACAGTGAACGCTAAAATCACGTTATCTTCTTCTTGACAACTAATTGAAAAAAGGATAACGTAATTTTAGCGTCCACCGTATTTGGATCCACGTTATTACAAAAATTCTCTATTAATTATATGCAAATTCTAAATACATCTTTCAATTATATAAACTGCGTGCTGCTTATTGTCAAACGTAATCATAAATTGAAGCTACAATAATATTACAAATTAAATTGATTGATTTTTTAAATTAATTATTCTTTTTTAAAGATCTCACAATTGCTTCATAAAATATGTTTATCAAATATGTTTATTATTTTATTTGAGAAGTAATATGAAGTAAGATCATTATTTTTATGATTTTTTAAAGCCTTACATCACTTTGAAATCATGAGAAAATCGAAATTTTTTTCGCTTAAATGATAGTTTATATATGTGAAAATATAACCCTACTAAATGAAATGAAAAATTCAAAGTTTATAAAGTTACAAGTTGATTTTTTGAACTTGTCCCTACTATAAAAAAACAAATGTTTCTCAAAAGAACATTTTTCAAATCGGCAAATATCATAACTTCTAACAATATTTATAACAATTTTTTTCGATTCACTTGAAATTTGCAGAGAATCTTATTAATTAATTATTTTTGTTAATTATCTAAAAAAATACGTAGCAATTTTTCGCGATTAGTTAAAAACTATATTGTAATATTAACATGTTGTGTGAAATTTTTTAGTTAAAAAATAATACTTTTTCCAAATGTTGATAAAGAAACATATTTCTGAAAACCTCTATATACTTCTTTAATAAATATCATGTAGGAAATAAAAATTCTTGGCCAAATCGTTTCGTGATAATCATGTACATTGATTAGGAATCGTTAAAAACGATTGCAGACTATTTAAATTGAACGCAGTGCCATCAAAAAAAAAATTTTTGTATACTTCAACACATGTATAATAAATAACTCTTTATAAATTTTTAATTTCTGATTTCTGTGGACTTTTACTTTTTTAACGTCATCGAATTAAGTAATACAAGAAGTAAAATAAATAATTCTTTAAAATAAGTAAAAAAAAGGTCAAATTTAGGTTTAATTTACTTCATTCTCTTTGCAGAAAAAAATTCCTCAAAAATATTTCTTTCTTTAAAGAGTACACTATTAAATCTATAATATCAAATTTAACCTGATGTGAGTCGCCATTGCGCTTATTAAATATATCGTTATTTTATATTAAACGATAATTAACTTTGATACCATATAGATTTAACAGTGTACAAAGTGTAAAGTATAAAAAGAAATCAATGAAAAAAAAAATTAGAATTTCTTTTATCTCCGACAGTCTATCACGCGAAAAATCGTTCAATATGTATTTAGTAAACAAAATATAGAATTAGCACGGTTTATACATTATTAATCTTGTATAATCGGTTCGCGAGAAGACTGAGCAAACGGCAACAATTAGGCCGTCAAACAACAAGTAGATAATAACAGATGTCCCCCGGCGACATACTCTGTGACAAGAATGCGTCCCAGCGATAACGAGATGAAAATTGGTATGCTAATGAATGCTAACTTCCTCATATTTATTATTATTGATTTTACGAGCGAAGGCGGCTAAACTTATCTGATATAAAAGAGAGAGACATTTCAACATCGCAAACACGGTAAATCGAGTACGATATGAAAAGTCGCGCGATTCATTCCAGAAGGAGGGAAAGATAATAGTTGCATTCCATTTACACACAAGTGAAACTGAATCTGAAGTGAACTGAATATTTTATATTCAGATTAATGATCACTCCTTTCTTACTTTACTGCTTTTGTAAAAAGTCATCACATGTCAACACAGGTTCATAACTTTGAAGTGAGTTTACGAGACTCACTAAAGCACACGGTCTCGATCTTGTGCAGATTATGGGTAAAAACTCAGTCGAATCTTACTTGTCAGAATACAAAAGGAACGCGCATTCAACTGAGTAATGACGTCACAAGTGAGAATTGCTTGAGAATCGGTGTAAATGGAAAGTAACTAAAATAGGCAATCTCCATATATGATTGTACGTATTGTACGGTGTGAATCTACATAAAGGCAAGTTGTAATTTCTCCTGTCGCCGACAAAGAGCAACATTCATTGGTATGCAACATTGTAATACTAGCCATCTCACACGCGGAAGTCATTTCCGTTGCGAAGTGCAATCTCATTTGATTTTTATGCACGAACAATAGATGAATTAAAAAGGGTCGCACGACGACAGGAATTCAATTTACGTAAACGAATTTCTTTTAAATCTTTGTAATTTTTAACATGATTTCCTTCTCTTTCTCACAACAAAAATTTATCTTAATTTTTTAAAACTTAAATCAAAAGATTCTTTTATGGAAGGAAATATCGATATAAATTATTTCATTTGTTTAAAATTAATATATATTAGGTGTTGGAATTAATTCGTAGCGTTTTACAAGTGATGGGAAGTACTTTCATTAATGTATTTTTTAATGCTCATGTGAAATAAATAACATTCTTTTATTAAAAACGCTACGAATTAATTCCAATACCTAATACAATAATCAAATATAATATCTAAAAAATTTTTTTTTCATCTATCAGATATTTAAAATGTCGGTACATCGGAAAAATCAAGAGAAAAATAAAACACAACGGAAAGAAATTCTAAATTTTTAAAATTAATATTATTTAATATTGTAGCTAATTGCGTTCTTGCGCACAAAAGAATTTCTTTTAATTTTTTTTTATACTATTATAATATCATTATTAAAAGATTTATTGACAAGGGAAAAAAACGCCGAAATAAATTTGCTTTATTTAAAACTTACATATTTAGTACACAAAAATAAAATATGATTTCTTAAAAAATACCTAATTCTTTTATTATTAAATCAGATATTTGAAATGTCGACACATCGAGAAAATAGAAGAAACAAAAAAAATTTCCAATTTTTAGAATTCATTTACTATCTACAGCAAATTTGGTCTTGCACAAATTTTCTCTAAGTAAATTTATTTACACGTTTTAATACCCGAAAGGAATGATATATTACGGAAAGAATTACAATGCTTTCAAACATATAAATCATAGTGTTACATATATTCATATCACAGACTGAACATTATCGTTATATTAACAAACTATAAAAGATTTTACGATATCAATGCTGGTAAGTATGACATAACGTTGTGATTACATCCGTTTTACTGACTCTCATTTTATCTCTTGGCTCTTAGGCCAATTTTTTATCCAATCTTTCTATTTATAAAAGATCTATCTATATCAGTCGATCCCAATGTTATACGATCCCAAAGATGTAGTAGCATAAAAATGGGAAAAAAGAATACGAGCAAGTATTAAAACTATTCTTATTAATGTAAAAGATAAGTGCAGACGCTATAAAAGTCAAAAAGTAATGATAATATAACAGCGAGATAATTTGGTGCAGTCATATCGTGATAAGCGAGAAAATAAAAATGTGAACCGTGTCAAGCACTATGAATTGTGTCATTTCTGATACGTAGGCGTTTTAGATTTAACAATTTATATTTTGACCTACAATTTTATATGTATATATATTATGATATGTATATATATATATATATATATATATACATATTATATATATTATATGTATATATGTATGTATGTCTGTGTATAATATATACTATTGTATATAATTTTTTTGCTAACTTAAAAATGCGATCTGTTTTTAATACATTAAAGTTTATTAGTTGCTTTATGATTTAATTACAATAAAATAATATAATTATAATTACACAATTAGAATTTTAAAAATAAAATGATATTGGAAATAATATAAGATGTTACATCAGATACGTATAATTCATAAAATAAAATGCAATATCTAAAAAACAGAAAAGACAATATCTAATCGAGTATATAAACTTTACTTGTTAGAAGAATTATAAAAAACGCGCAATGTTCAAATGGAATAACATAACATGCCTCTGAACTGTGCTGAGGTTATCAGTGACACCAGTTGGCGTTAGCAAAAATCATTACGTATCCAAAAGATAAAAGGGGGAAAAGAATTGTTCTAACGACTGTCCCTGAGGCTTCCTCGTGATTCCCATAATTCATCATATAATTGCAAACATCAACAACACGGCAAATTTTCTCCTTCTGCGAGTTTCAGTACATATTTACATATGTTACAGAAATATCAACAGACTTTTCATATGAATTTTAAATAACGCTTCCCTATTTCTCGTGTTTTACGCAGAAAACTCTACAACAAAGATGATTCGCGTAAAAATATCGATTTGCAGCTTGACTAAATGTTTGGAACATTCCTTATATTTTCAGATTTTCTAGATTTTCCAAAAAATATCGATTTGAACGAAAACGGGCAAAGCGAAATGAGGCGCTTTCTTCCGGACATGTTCATTATCGACAACGCTGTCTCACCTGATTTATTGGTCCCATTGTGATCTTTGTTGGAGCTCTGCGACACTAGCCTGTAGTCGCCCTTCCGGGGTTTGCTCGGGCCGAACTTGATGTTGATTCCATTGTCCTGATCTTGAACCCGTTGCATCGTCATCGACCTTTAACCGCGGTTCTCGCGCGCGCGCGTATCATGCAAAATATATAAGTACACTAAATTGACACACGCGGCTGCCGTATTGTACACACACGTACGTGATACGGAAGTAAAATGGATGGGAGAGATAAAACGCTGGGGGCCCACCAATTGCCGACTATGGGGAATAAATATATTGCGTGCGTACGTACGTGTGTATGCGTGAGAGACTAAACACAGTGGCGCGAAACGGCACTGATAAACGTAAAACGAAAGAGACAGCGGGGAGAGAAAATTAGAGATGACGAAACAAAGAGGGAGAAAGAGAGAGAGACAGAGAAGATAAGGGCAACAGCCGCTTTCCTCTTTTCTTCCTTCCTGCTTCTCTCCTTCAGATATCTATCTGCCCCTTCTTCACAACGCGGTTTTTATCACGCGCGCGTGCGTGTGTGTGTGTGTGTGTGTGTGTGTATGTATGTGTGTATGTATGTGTGTGGTGTGTGGTGCGCTGTTAATGATATTCACAGCGGTGTAGGTAGACGGATAGATAGATGCCGCGATGACATCGGAGAGGCGCGCGTCAATGCTCCGCGCGAAAACGGCACTGCGCGTCGCTCTGCGAATCTTCTTCACGGGACCGTGTCATGAACCCGTGCGTGCCAACGGCGTCGTCGTCCGTCCTCGTGCGCCTCCACCGCCTACCGTTTTCACGATCATCCGCCACCGCCGTTCCAGTCATAGACCCCGTCAGCCGACCGTCGATCGACCCAACCGCGCTGTTCTTCCTCCGCCCTCGCCGGACAACCTCGCCGCCTTCGTCGATGCCTCCACCCGTCTTCGCCGATTACCTCCTCGTCGACGTCTTCCTCCTCCTCGTCCTCGTCCTCGTTGTCGTCGTCGTCGTCGTCGTCTAGGCGCATAGAGAACGCGGAGCGACACCAGTGCACGCACATAAACCTCGCCCTCAGACTGTCGCAGTCATCCTATGCTTCGTGCGTGTTACGCGCGGCTTCAACCACGCACTCGTGACACGCGTACTGATACATACGTCACTGTGCGTCACGAGCCGACTGATCAGCTGTGTGTCAC